GTGGTTTCTTATCAGTCGTAACAAATGGGCGCTTTTTTAAAAAGTCATTGCCCACTTTTAGGGATCTGGAGACAGACATTTTGCACTCATTTTGAAGGGCACAGCCCTCCCCAGCAATGCAGTTGACATGAATGCTGTTACTTAAAAATCTTAGAACTATAAACAGCTTCAAATGCGCAAGTGGTCATCTCAAGATTTCGAGTAATTGATAAAGGCAAGAATAGTAGGCTATATGAAGAACTTGGGGCCAGGGATGGTGACTCATGCCTGTAATCCCAGCACTTTGGGAGGCTGAGGTAGGTGGACCCCATCTCTACCAAAAATATAAAAAATTAGCCGGGTGTGGTGGTGTGTGCCTGTAATCCCAGCTACTTGGGAGGCTGAGGTAGGAGAATCGCTTGAGCCTGGGAAGCGGAGGTTGTGGTGAGCCGAGATTGTGCCATTGCACTCCAGCCTGGGCAATAAGAGCGAAACTCTCTCTCAAAAAATTGAAAGGGCACCTGTGATTAAGTCACTATCACATGGATAATTTCCCTATGTTAAGGTCAACTGATTTGTGATCTTAATTACATTTGCAAAATACCTTCACTGCAGCACCTAGATTGGTGCTTGGGAGGTACGTCTATACCAGGGCAGAAAATTTAGGGGTCATCTCAGAATTTTTCCGACTACATTGGTTTTCAATTTTGAAATCTACCTTAGATTCTAGACCAGTTGTTTTCAACTGGGGTTAGAGGAGATTTTTATACTCCTCCCCAGGGGACAATATCTTGAGACATTTTTGGATGTCATCTGGTGGGTAGAGGCCAGAGATACTACTAACCCACCTACAGTATATGGGAGAACGCCCCACAACAAAGAATTGTCAGCCCAAGATGTCAGTAGTGCCAGGATTGTGAAACCCTGCCCTAAGCAAAACAGGAAAGACAATTATTACAGTGCAGAGTTAGAATTATCAACATCAGTCATGTAAATGTAAAAGTATAGCTGATGTGACACAAGATGAAACATAGGAGGATAGTGTCATAAGACCAAGAGGTTCATATACCCACTGTGCAGTAACAGACTGATACATTGAGACAGCAGAGTTTGCAGCAGAGAGAGTTTAATGATTACATGGTGCTGAGTCAGGAAGTAGGAGAAGATTCCTAAATCTCTGAAGAGTTCTGGGCTGGGGTTTTTAAGAAGATCATGGAAGGCGAGGGGCTGGAAAATTTGGGTCACTGATTGGTCAGGGTAAGGGAGATTAAATCATTAGGATATGGAAATTGCATTCTTTGATGATTTAGCTTCTGGTAGGGTCCTTCAGACCAGCTGACATCAGTAGTTTCATCAGTATGCAGGACCCGAAAGAATGTCTCAAAGGGAAAACTTAACATTTCATAATGTTCAAGCTGTTATCTATAGAGCAGTTAAGGGGAACTATAATCTTGTAACAGACTCCACGTAATTCTGAAGCAATAGCCAAACAACTATGAGGAAGGGGTCAGCGAGCAAACTGACCTAATGATTAATGCTGAATGTGCTGCAAGCTTGGATTATTTAAGTGTTTCTCACCCTCTCTTCTTCCTTGATTTATTTCATAAAGTTTATAGGGACAGTTTCAATGGGAGGAAAAGGAAAGGAGTATGGAGTATTATGTACATCTTACATAAAGACTAATACATAAGCCAGGCGTGGTGGCTCATGCCTGTAATCCCAGCACTTTGGGAGACCAAGGCAGATGGATCACTTGAGATCAGAAGCGTGAGACCAGCCCAGCCAACATGATGAAACCCTGCCTGTAACAAAAAATACTAAAACTAGCCAGGCGTACTGACACACACCTGTAATCCCAGCTACTCGGGAGGCTGAGGCACGAGAATCCCTTGAACCTGTGAGGCAAAGGTTGGAGTGTACTGAGATCGTGCCACTGCCCTCCAGCCTATGTGACAGAGTGAGACTCTGTATCAAAAAAAAGAAAAGAAAAAAGAAAAAAGTATTTAAAAAAGACTAATAAATGGAAGACAAGTATATTATTGAAAGTTACAGAGATAAAGAAAAATAATTGTAATGAAACATCAAGCACTAGGATGAGGAGAAAGAAGGGAAGAGATAAGCAAAAAAATGATACTTTAAGCATTTCATTTGAAATCACAGAAGTAACCACTAGAACTTAAACTTTTAAAAGGATTAAGAAAGCCAGGTGAGGTGGCTCATGCCTGTAATCCTAGCACTTTGGGAGGGTGAGATGGGAGGATCGCTTGAGCCCAGGAGTTCAAGACCAGCCTGGGCAATATAGTGAGACCCTGTCTCTACAGAAAATAATAATTTTAAAAAATAGACAGACATGGTGGCACATGCCTGTAGTCCCAGCTACTGGGCAGGCTGAGGTAAAAGGATTGCTTGAACTCAAGAGGTCAAGATTGTAATGAGCCCAGATTGCTCCACTGCTCTCCAGCCTGGGCAAAAGAGCAAGACCCTGTCTCAGAAAAAAAGATTACAAGATGTTGCCTCAAGGATAGGCCTAGGAATAGGGAGGATAGGCTGGGAGGATGTTATTTTTATTACAAATTCTGCTGTACTTTTGATTTTTTTAATCACACACCTATATGACTTCAATAAAAATGTAACTTTTCAAAAAGAAAACTTAAAGGATTAACCAGGTGATTTACTCATGATATAGTAACAGTATTCACTCTTAGTACAATAATAGTGCATAGTACAGTAACAGTGATAATGTTTTACTAAGCACATGCAATAACCTGTAAAATGTAATTTCTTTAAGAATCTGGTTTTGGCCGGACGCGGTGGCTCACGCCTGTTATCCCAGCACTTTGGGAGGCCGAGGTGGGTGGATCACGAGGTCAGGAGACTGAGACCATCCTGGCCAACATGGTAAAACCCTGTCTCTACTAAAATACAAAAAATTAGCCGGACATGGTGGTGCGCACCTGTAGTTCCAGCTACTTGGGAGGCTGAGGCAAGGGAATTGCTGGAACCCAGGAGGCAGAGATTGCAGTGAGCTGAGATGCACCACTGCATTCCAGCCTGGTGACAGAGCGAGACTCCATCTCAAAAAAAAAAAAAAAAAAAAAAAAAATGGGAAAAAAAAAAAAACCATCTCAAAAAAAAAAAAAAAAAAAAAAAAAATCTGGTTTCCGAGGCACACTATCTTCAGACAAAGTTTCAATTATTTGCATTGCAAAGAAATCAGTTTTTAAAATATATCATGTAAACCTACTGTCATTCATAGCTACCCAACAACTGTGTAGCATTGTAGATCAAACTAGAAGAAACAAAATGGAAAATAATTAAAGTTATTAGTTGAAAGAATTAGACACCAGTGTTTTGGTATCTCAACTTTTATTAATGTTGGTTATTATGGTTAATTTAAATTTGTGGTTTATTATTTTAAGTTACTCTTATATTTTATGATTTTTTTTCTTATTTAAAAGGCTTGTCTCTGCCACTTATTGTGTGATCTGGGCAAGTCATTTTACCTCTAAGAGCCTCAAGTTTCCTCATCCATAAAGTGGAAATATAAATACAAAGCTTGCAGAAATGTCAGGAATATAAATAAATTAAATGCTAAATAGTCAATGAAGGATATTAGGCAAAGGCCAGTTTTGGTGGCATTTTAACCTATGGAGACTCAGTGCCTCTGTGTGTCCCATTATCACCTTCAAGATATCCTGGCAACACCACTGCCTGGGACTAGCCAGCAGGGAGACCCAGGACACCTGCCACCTGAAAAAGTGGCTCCTGCTTTCTATTGACTTCTTGTGAACACTGGGCTCTTACCTATCTCAAAGCCTCTATGGACAAAAAAGAGGTCAAAAGAGGAATGGCACAATGGTATCAACTCAAACGTGTGAGCCGGGTACAGTGGCTCATGCCTGTAATTCCAGCACTTTGGCAGGCAGAGTTGGGTGGATCACTTGAGGTCAGGAGTTTGAGACCAGCCCGGCCAACATGGGGAAACCCTGTCTCTACTAAAAATACATAAATCACCGGGGTGTGGTGGCTGGGCGCCTGTAATACCAGCTACTTGGGAGGCTGAGGCAAGAGAATCGCTTGAACCTGGGAGGTGGAGGTTGCAATGAGCTGAGATTGTGCCACCGCACTCCAGCCTGGGCAACAGAGTGAGATTGTGTCTAAAAAAAAAAAAACAAAAAAAAAAACCAAACACAACAAAAACGTGTAAGAAGGGTGGGAGAGGAGCTAAAAGATGCAGACTCCTTGTTTAGGCAGAGCGTAAAATCACCACACAGAGGACCAAACTCTGGGCCCCTAACTAGTGCTGCTCCAAGAACTGACTGCAGGAGGCAAAATGTTCTGGACAGCAAGGCAGGCTTTTTGTTCTTTTCAGTATGAGAAAATTTCAATTCAAACAATGGTAGCTACTCAAACTAGATGTTTTGAAGTTATATTTAGTTTACACTTTTCTATTTAGAAAAAACCCCTAATATTTATGAACTCTAACTGACAAAATAAGTATACAAATTCACATAGGAAATTCTTACCAAAAACATTAAACCTGAATTTGATTATAAGAAAATAATTAGGCCAGGCACTGTAGCTCACACCTATAATCCCAGTACTTTGGGAGGCTAAGGTGGGAGGATCGCTTGAGCCCAGAAGGTTGAGACCAACCTGGGCAACACAGTGAGACCCTGTCTCTACAAAAAATAAACAAAATTAGCCAGGTGTGGTGGGTATGTACCTAGTTCCAGACACTCGGGAGGCTGAGGTGGGAGGATTGCTTGAGCCCCAGATGTTGAGGCTTCAGTGAGCCAAAATCAAAATTGTGCCACTGCACTCCAGCCTGGAAGACACAGCAAGACCCTCCCTCAACAAAATAATATTAAAAATTGAAAAAAAAGGCAGAGGAACTTTATTAGATTGAAAGACATTAAAGAAAAATAACAATTATTTGCAGTATGTATGTCAACCTTGATTGTTTACTGGATTGAAAAAAACTACATAAAATGCTCTCTAAATAGTTGGGAAAATTTGAATATGGAATATATGAGATGAAATTGTTAATTTTTTAGGTATAAAACTGACAATGTGATTAGGTAGAGAAATGTCTTTATTTTAGAGTATGTCAAGTTATAACACCAAAAAGAAACTAGGGGTGAAGTGCCATGATGTTTGCAACTTATTTTCAAATGGTTTAGTAAACAAAGTATATTTTAAAAGTTATAATATTTTATATAGAAACACATACAAAGAGAGGAGAGAGAAAGCAAACGTGACACAATATTAACAACGATTAATCTAGGTGAAAGATATATAGATGTTCATTGTACCATTCTTTTAACTTCTTTGTAAGTTTGGAAAACTATAATTAAAAAGTTGGGAGAAGTTATATCTATATGCTCCTCTTAAAATATTATATGAAGATAAGCACTATTATTATTATTATTATTTTTGGAGACAGGGTCTCATTCTGTCACCCACGCTGCTCACTGCAACCTCAAACTCTCCCAGACTCAGGTGATCCTCCCACCTCAGCCTCCCATGTGGCTGGGATCATAGGCAAGTACTACCATGCCTATGTTTTTTTGTTTGTAGAAATGAGGTCTTGCTATGTTGCCCAGGCTGGTCTCAAACTCCGGGACTCAAGTGATCCTCCTGCCTCAGCATCCCGAAGTGCTGGGATTACAGCTGTGAACCACCGTACCCAGCCAGCATTATCTTTTCATTTCATCTTCCAGTTGTGTATATTATTGGCTACATTTGCATACCACACAATTGTTCATTTTTTAAAAAACAATATTTTGTTTTGTTCTGTTGTCTACAATAAGGAGAATTCAGATGATAAACTTACAACCAATCATGGCCAAGTCCACTTGAGGAATTGTCTCTGTAGATTCATTTGTAGACTCTCTAATAAGGAGTCTTATGGCCATACGTTTCGTGTTTCCCCTGATGTGCCCTGTTACTGTTCCTCTTGCTGTGGTGTTTCTTCCTGTGACAAACGTTTCCTTTACCATTTTTCTTGGCTGCTTGCACTTTCATCCACTGCTTAACAGTGTGGTTGTGCGGGCTAACACAGATTCTTCTGCGCTTGACATGAAGGCTGTTAGAAAGGGAAGCAAAAGAAAGTCACTGATAGAAAATATATAGAAATAACCACTAAGTGACTTACCTGCAGCTCCCACTTTGGGACACTGTATTCCTAGAGACTAAATTCAGACTAAATTTCTGAATTCAGTGTAGAAATGAAGTGAATTCTAAAGTTGAGCACCACGAGGTTCAATTTTGACTTCACAAGCAGTGCTGCCTGTGGGTCCTCAGATATCAGCAGAGAGTATTAAAAGAAAGAGGAGGAGAAGAAGGAATTGGATGAGGAGCAGAAGGAGAAAAGGAACGAGAAAAAAGAGGAAGAAGAAAGGAGGAAAAGAGACAATAAAAACCAAGTGAAAACAATTATCTTCCTTGACTTCAAGCTTCACCCAACAAAACCAATTCATCCTCACAGCCCATCTCAAACACATCCTTAAGGTTTGTTTGAGGTTTTTCTGATGCGTAAGGATTTGTAGATTCTCTCAGCTAGATGCTGTCCTTTTTCCCCTGTGATTCTCCACGATGAGAGTTACTTACCTCTTTTCTGGCACTTAGTTTATGCTGTCTTTTATCTGAATACTCATCTCATCTCTCCTACTGGAGATATGTTCCTTGAAGGAGGAATAGTCTAGAAGTTTCTTGAAAAGGCCTTATTCAAAACTTTAATTTAAAACTTAAACAATTTAAAACTTAAATTAACAAAACAAAACTAAGATATTCTAGGCATTCGTTAACATTTTAATATGATATAGATCTATGACACAGTTCAGAATGTGCTTTAATTTTCATTTTTCTTTTTTTTTGGTTAGATGGAGTTTCACTCTTGTCACCCAGGCTGGAGTGCAATGGTGTGATCTCGGCTTACTGCAACTTCTGCCTCCCAGGTTCAAGTGATTCTTCTGCCCCAGCCTCCAGAGTAGCTGGGATTACAGGTGTGCACCACCACACCCAGATAATTTTTGTATTATTAGTAGAGACGGGGTTTTACCATGTTGGCCAGGCTGGTTTTGAACTCCTGACCTCAGGTGATCCACTCACCTCAGCCCCCAAAGTGCTGGAATTACAGGCATGACCACCATGCCTGGTTCATTTTCATTTTTCTATATGAATTTCTCACAGTGGGTTGAGAGAATGCTAGGGCAGCACGCACAGTTTCTGGTAACTAGAAGAATTTTTTGTTGAAAAAGATATTGGTGACTTCTAATTTCTCCACGAGGGGTCATCAGCTCTTACCAAATGTCACAAATCCTGCTGGCTCTACATATACAGTATTTCTGTGTCCAGATAAATTGAAACTCCTGATCCTGTTATTCAGGGAAAAAACAGAGGTGGAGTAGAGAGTAGGCTGCTGTTTTTCTAGATGACCTAAGTTGAATCATTATCAGCTAATGTAGGGACTCCTGAAATGGGAGAAAAGTGGGGAGAATGGGGGGAAAGTAACAATGAGTTTTAACATAATAAAGCCACCATGTGGGGAATATTAATTTGAAAGAAGTAGAGCATCTTTTTTTTTTTTTTTTTTTTTTTTTTTTTTGAGACGGAGTCTCGTTCTGTCACCCAGGCTGGAGTGCAGTGGCCGGATCTCAGCTCACTGCAAGCTCCGCTTCCCGGGTTCACGCCATTCTCCTGCCTCAGCCTCCCGAGTAGCTGGGACTACAGGCGCCCGCCACCTCGCCCGGCTAAGTTTTTGTATTTTTAGTAGAGACGGGGTTTCACCGTGTTAGCCAGGATGGTCTCGATCTCCTGACCTCGTGATCCGCCTGTCTCGGCCTCCCAAAGTGCTGGGATTACAGGCTTGAGCCACCGCGCCCGGCGCAAAGTAGAGCATCTTAATAAGAGAACAATATATTCGCTATGTGTATTAGATACAGAGTCTTCAAAAAAAAAAAAAAAAAAGCACCACCTATTTCTCACTATGGTCAGTTGGTTTGCTATCATAGGAGAAAACATGGCTGTACTACTGCTGCGTAGGAAACAAAAACAAACAAACAAACAAACAAACAAAAAACTGGCATTGAAGCTCCTACCCTTTCCAAAGGACTAAAACTCTTGCTTCTCCCTGTGATGTCAGAAAGAAACTGAGCAGATAAAAATTTCAGTGACATGCAGGCCGGGCACAGTAGCTCACGCCTATAATCCCAACACTTTGGAAGGCCGAGGCAGGCAGATCACCTGAGGTCGGGTGATCGAGACCAGCCTGGCCAACATAGTGAAACCCTGTCTCTACTAAAAATACAAAAATTAGCTGGGCATGGTGGCATGCACCTGTAATCCCAGCTACTTGGGAGGCTGAGGTAGGAGAATTGTTTGAACCTGGGAGACGGAGGTTGCAGTGAGCCGAGATCGTGCCACTGCACTCCAGCCTGGGCAACAAGAGGGAAACTCTGTCTCAAAAAAAAAAAAAAAAAAAAGATTTCAGTGACATGCAGATAAGCCCACAAGTTACACAGGAAAGAGCTAGAATTCAAGTCCATTATGAAAATAAGAGAGATGGTACTCAGGGAGGGGCATTGGCACCGGGGCTGAAGGAGAGAACCAGATGGAAGAGATATAGACAGAGGATTCACAGAGGTGGAGGACCATAGGAAAATACGCAACAACTAGCATGTGGGCTTTTTCAAAGATTGCTGGTGACGCAAGCTCCCAATGTAATTCAACCAGGAAAAAAAAATCAGCTACCAGAACACAGCTCCCAAATCTGAGATCCTATGATGTTTTAGAATTCTAAAGTTTAAAAACTTCTTAAATCTCTACTTGGATCCCATGTATTTTCCACCAGGATAGAAGGAGATGAAGTAATGTTGGAAAGGGGGCTGGCCTATTCCACATTCCTTCCCCTACTCGCAATTCCATAGTATTCTGATGGGCACCAATCCCCACCTTCCCAATGGTGAGTTTGTAGGTGGAGAGCTTTGACTGTAAGAAATCATGAGGCCAATCCCTGATTTTTTTTTTTTCTTAATCCACAGGAGGATAGCTGGAGATAGTCTGATGGACGTAAAGGGGTGGCCCTGCCATAGAGATTATACCTTTAATATCCCCTAAACTTTATTTCTTTACCCATTCCTCGAAACACAACAATGTCTCACAACCACATCTGAAAAACTACTCAAGCCTTCCAGATAATTCTATTTAAAAACCTCACATTTTCTCACAACAAAAAATGTCTGTTTAAGAATCCTCTGACCTCTGCCCAACATAAACAACTTTTTTTTTTGAGACAGAGTCTTACTCTGTCACCCAGGCTGGAGTGCCATCGGGCGGATCTTGGCCAACTGCAAGCTCCGCCTCCCGGGTTCACGCCATTCTCCTGCCTCAGCCTCCCGAGTAGCTGGGACTACAGGTGCCTGCCATCACGCCCAGCTAATTTTTTTGTATTTTTAGTAGAGATGGGGTTTCACCGTGTTAGCCAGGATGGTCTCGATCGCCTGACCTCGTGATCTGCCCGCCTCAGCCTCCCAAAGTGCTGGGATTACAGGTGTAAGCCACCGCACCTGGCCATGAAAAACAACTTTTTACTGTATTTATGTTCAGAAACATCCAGAAGCTCATTAATGAAGTCACTGTAGAGGAGTTTGAACAAGAAAACTGCTGTCTCAGGCATCAAAAACTACAATGACCATTTATAAGGTATAAAACAAAGGACCTATTTCTAGGCAGAAAAGAAAAAAAGCCTAATAAGTTTACTGCACGTTGATTTATATTAATTAATTGTTATTAGTAATACATGCTACTTGGGAATTATATTTCCAGTGTTAGCAATGCTTTCTGCATCTTAAATACTTTCTCAAATCTTAAAGTCTTTATACCCAGTCAGGGTTAAGGGACTACATTTTAGATAATGTAGACATGCTCCATACTAAACTAATCTGAAAACAAGAGAATGTTTATTTATTTATGTTGAACATCAGGAAACACAACAGAGAGGATCTGTAACTTATGGTTAAAAAATACTACAGAGTTTAATTTTATTTGAGATTAGGTCATAGCAACTCTGTATTTTTCAGCTTTCTTAGCACAGAGGTCAATTTACAAATTATGCTTGAATAAAGTAAATATTTTTGGATCCAGGTGACTGGCCTCCTAGTACCTCTTTAGTTAAAATTGAGTCCTTTTTAAAATGAAGACTTATGTTTCTGATTATATTTTGCCTTATCACAGCAAAACATCATTTCCGTTCCTATGCCTTTCAGATCTCTGACACCTGCTTATCCCAAAGAAACATCCCTGAAAATCCTGTTACCAATAGCTTCCCTGGATAACCTCCAGAATCTGTCTTATACACCCACAGAAACTTGCTCTGTTTTTTTTTCTCCAAGCCTTTCTGGGAGTCCTATCGGAGCCCTTACAAGCTTCAAGCTTCAAGTCTGAGGTGATATATGCCAATGAGGTGGAAGGAATTGAGAGGAGCTGAAAATTTGGAATTTCTCAGAGCAACTGGAGCAGGTTCAGACAGATTTAGTGCAGCTGTGTCCACTCGACACAAATATCCAGCTGTTTCTAACCACCTAAAGCATTGTCTATCCATGCATTATCTATCCATGCATTGTCTATGAACTTTTTACTCTCCAACTATTATCAACAGTATTCTTTAAGATTAAATAAAAGACTGGTAGAATCTCAGCCAGACATATACCAAGGAGTTTTTCAAAGAAGTTGGGAACTTGGAGCACCCCTCAGAATCCTCACTGGTATGTAGTCCCTGGAGTACCACAGGTGATGCTGGTTCCCGATGACTAAACCACCTGAGCCAATGGAGCCAGGTGGTGGCTTGAACTGAGATGCTGAGGAAATTATCAGTCTTCTCCGTTCTCCCACAAAGACACTCATGCTTAATGCAAGTTTGGATCAAGAATTGTTTCCTCCCCTACATCTGACCCTGAGTGTGATCTTTAAACTTTATTCGATCTCAGAATCGTTGAGAATCTTATAAAACCTATGGACCTTCTACAAATGCTCACAGGTTCATACACAAAAATTTCAGGAAGTTCACAGCCCCTAACCTGTTGAAAGTCTATCAACAGACATCTTGCAGACTCTTCCTCTGAACTTTTACGAACCCTTATCTTGGAGCAGTTTTTCCTCAAAATTGAATAATAGATAAATCCCTCTGAAAGGGGGTAAAATACATTTCAAGTTCCGGAGATCATCTTAAATCATAAGATGATCTGCAGAACCCAGCTGGATAAAGAGTCCCCTGGAGACTCTAGGCAGACAGAACCCATTTTGTCACCACTGCATCCCCAGCATATAGAACAGTGCCTGGCGCATAATCATTAATTCATTAATATTTGTTGAATTCACTGAAAGAATAAGGTTTCTGAGTGACTCGGGAACTCAGGCATAAGCAACGGGTTTATTTATAGCCCAAAGAAAGGAGCACCAAATGACTCACTAGCATCACCTGGAGCCACAAATGGTGTTTAAACCTGCATGCCAGGGAGATGCCTGATACTCAGATGCAGTAGAGTTTGGAGAGGGCATTTTATGGTTAGTCCCACCACTGCTTTAGAATGACATTGGAGGTATACAGTGTTCTGAACTAAGAGACCTGGGTTCACATCCCGTTTCTGCAATTCACGAGCTGTACACAAGTGAACCGTGTAAGCTGAGTCACAGCTTTCTCCTGTGTGTGATCGGGAGATCATTTATGGTTTCCTCACAGCATTGTTGTCAGAATCCAGATTTACTAAATACCAGTGCAGTTCAGATGTTGGAGCCTCCATAGAGATGTTAAGTACATACACAAACAAAGCTTTTAATAACTGAGCCAGGGACAGGGCAGGGAAGTTTCATCATGAGCCAACACCACAGAATCAAAAGCAGAGATTGGATTGGCATTTGTGATTGGATTGCATATAGCACTGTGACAGGTATAGATATTTACACACTTCTTTTTGAATCTTTTCTTCTGTTTTTGTCTTTTTGTTGTTGTGGTGGTGGTGGGTTTTTGAGCCAGGATTTAACTCTGTCACCCAGGTTGGGGTGCAGTGCCATGATCACGGCTCACTGCAGCCTCAAACTGGGCTCAGTGATCCTCCCATCTTAGCCTCCCGAATAGCTGGGACTACAGGTGCATGCCACCACGCCTGGCTAGTTTTAAAGTTTTTTTTTTTTTTTTGAGATGGGGTCTCGCTCTGTCGCCCAGGCTGGAGTGCAGTGGCCGGATCTCAGCTCACTGCAAGCTCCGCCTCCCGGGTTCACGCCATTCTCCTGCCTCAGCCTCCCGAGTAGCTGGGACTACAGGCGCCCGCCACCTCGCCCGGCTAGTTTTTTGTATTTTTTAGTAGAGACGGGGTTTCACCGGGTTCGCCAGGATGGTCTCGATCTCCTGACCTTGTGATCCGCCCGTCTCGGCCTCCCAAAGTGCTGGGATTACAGGCTTGAGCCACCGTGCCCGGCCTAAAGTTTTTTATAGAGATGAGGTCTCGCCATGTTGCCCAGGCTGGTCTTGAACACCTGGTCTCAAGCGATACCCCTGCCTTGGCCTCCCAAAGTGCTAGGATAACAGGCATAAGCCACCACACACGGCCTACCTTTTGGAACCTTATAATATGCTCCTGATGAATTCAGAAAGTAGAAATGACAGCAACCCATATATTGGAAAAGGTTAAAAGCCATGAAATATAACAGAGTCACCTTTTATTTGGGGTTTTGTTTTGCTTAGGAAAGTCATGAACACTTTTTGGTGACTGGGGAAGTTTAGTGCTAACCACAGCACTACAGGGTGGAAGTAGATGGTGCACTGGTATGGGGCTCAGGACATCTTCGGACAGAGAGACTATGAATTTACTCCAGGGAGCCTGGCGCCTTCCCTCCCTTGTTTGGATGACTGTTTGTATGTTGTTATTCGATGTTCAGGGAAATAATCATTGTGCAGGTTTAGACCTCCTGGCTGAAGAGCACTCACATGACAGCAGCCAAGTCACAATCCCCATCAGCTCTCTGGATGCGACACATATTCACTCTTTCCAGAAGCCTTCTGGAAATGTGATGTGAAACCTCTGTGCAACAGCTGGAGGCAATGGGAAGTATGGCTAAAAGAAGAAAAGAAAGAAAATGTTAAATCTTACAGTTTATAGAACACTGGCATGGTTCTCATTTTAAAGATTTCAGAGAAACAGAATGTTAATCCACACAAACAAGGGGCAAACACGACTTTGTGAATACAGACTTGGGGCAGGACATGTCCCCACTTTCTGGAATTTAAGCTATATTTGTAAAAGAGAAAATGTAAATTTAGGCAAAGACATAAAACAAGTGAAAGAGATGAAAAGAGTTACAGACAAGGATTCTGGTGGTACTGCAAACTGATCAAAGACGAAAGGAGTTAGGTCTGCACAGTGTTTCATGCATTTTGGAGCTGGAAAAGCATCAATTGTTCAGCAAACATTTATTGATTGCCCATTCTGTGACAGGCCCTGAGCTCTGCATTCAAAGTCGAAATAAACAAGGCATAATCTGTCCTTGTGATGCTTAGTAGTGCAGTGGGAGGCAGGCCATAAACAAATAATCCCAACACAGTAAAATAAGTGTTAAAGAGTTATGTTAGGCCGGGCGCGGTGGCTCAAGCCTGTAATCCCAGCACTTTGGGAGGCCGAGACGGGCGGATCACGAGGTCAGGAGATCAAGACCATCCTGGCTAACACGGTGAAACCCCATCTCTACTAAAAAATACAAAAAACTAGCCGGGCGAGGTGGCGAACGCCTGTAGTCCCAGCTACTCCGGAGGCTGAGGCAGGAGAATGGCGTGAACCCGGGAGGCGGAGCTTGCAGTGAGCTGAGATCCGGCCACTGCACTCCAGCCTGGGCGACAGAGCCAGACTCTGTCTAAAAAAAAAAAAAAAAAAAAAGAGTTATGTTAAAAGTGTTATGGGATTACACATGAAAAAAGCCAGATTTAAAAGGCCATACTGTATGATTCCCTTTATATGAAAGATCCAGAATGGGCAAATCCATAAAGACAGAAAGTAGATTAGTGGTTGCCAGGGGCTGGGGGGCTAAGGGATGGAGAGGGACGAATGAAAGGAGGGGACAGGGAGTGACTGCGAACAGGTACAAGATCTCTTTTTGGAGTGATGAAAATGTGCTGGAATGAGATACTGGTAATCGCACAGTTCTGTGAATATATTGAAGACCACTGAATTTTATACTTTAAAATGGAGAATTTTATTCAGTTGTTCCTACATTTATTAATGCATTTATTTCCTAAAACTAATTGCTTCTTTCTTTAGCTATGCTGTGCTGCCTAAGTCAAACTCTTAATATCCTGAACAAGGTATTGGGTTTATCCACGTATCCACCCATTCATTCATTCACCCATCTCACTATATGCGAATCACTATGCTAGACCCTGAAGGTAGAAAGATGAAGAGTTACTAGCCTCAAAGATTAGTTGTGACCCAAGCAACTCTAATAGGAAACGTACTTTCAGAAGCATGGTAGCAATTAAGAATCACAAGAAAATCTGTGTGTTTAGGAATTTGAGTTATCTGAGTGCTGATACGAATTCAAACCGTCTTAAGCCCGAAGAGTACCAGGGACCTATATATATACTTAGTAAAATGGATTGCATTTCTCAAATATTAATATAAATGTAGGATGGGCTCAGCTGGAGATCACTTGATCTAAGTCAGATTAACTATAAAAAGGCAAGAAGCAGGCCAGCATTTATTACATGTTAGTAGGTGCAACTAGTGCCCTCCAGAGGAAGCAGAAAATATAACAGGCCAGGAAACAACCTTGGAGAGAACACGGGAAGTTAGGCAATGGAGAACGTAAACCGGGTAGTTCCGAACAGGGCAACTGTAAAATTCTGTTAGGTAACATCGCCCCCTAGAGGTTCCCTCCTGTAGCCTCCTGTCAGAATATTTCCATTTTTAAAAAGCCATCAGCTACTTCCATTTATTTCAATCATGACTCTAGAATTTCCATATAGTAGAGATTGTGATGTGTCAATTAGGCTGAAAAAGATGATTATGTGACATTTCTTCAGTGTTTACATAGTTTTGTTCAGATGATACTGAACAATGGTTGTTGGGGAGGCAAGCTGCTAAGAGATCAGGGAGGCCAAAACCTGTCTGCAAAAACCATCTTGATCAGGAATATAATGGAAAATAATCAGTTTATGTTCCAGAATTGGAGTTCACACAAACACAAACCTGTATGATGGAGAAGGGGTTCCCTTGAAGAGAAATATGTGACTATTACTGAAAATAACAGAAGTCTTGCAGAGTGGGCTTGATAAAGCAACGGAGTCTAGAGGTATGAACGAGCAAGGATCGGAGGTATGCTGCAAGACTTTGCCTGATCCACCCCCAACTGCCTCTCTAACCCCTCCTAGAGGTGCTCCCTTTGCTTTGGGAAGGACAAAGTCCAGCAGATCCACCGGGGAATTTCTCTGAAAAGTGATTTGTGAGATCAGCAGATGCGTTTCCCAGCTGGCCTCAGAAGCAGGCACTGAGGTTAGCTCTCTGGAGGAAGTGGGCAACCACCAGTGGGTTTCAAATGGATCCAGAGCAGCTGCCCAACAGAGGAACCACAAAACTGGGAGTAAGGTTTCTGATTATGCAAGGGATCATCCCTCCTACAGTATCAGACCAACTTCCCCCAGACTCTTAGAGGGAAAGTACCCCTCTCCGGAACCCACTATTTGAGAATTGTCAAGAATATTTGGATTGAGAAATCCTGCAGCAACTTTGTAATTACTGCCAGGCAAGAAAGTGGGGACCCGGAACATCACAATTTCTACTCACCAGCCAGTGAAGCCCAGAGTATAGGAGTTCCATGGGCAGCATCTGATGTGTCTATGCAGTGAATTGAAATCAGTATTTAAATCATATTTGAATCAGTTTGCTCTGGCACTTTTGAGATTGTATCAACTTTTGCTCCATTAAAAATACTGGTGTGGTTCTGTAGAGTGTGTGTGAAAGAAAGTAGGGGGAAAATGTTTCTAACAAAAGAGAAAATGTGGCAAGGGCTATGTGATAAACAGAATGATATCTGGAACACTAAAAGGCAGAAGCAATAAATTATAACATAGAGACTTAGGTTCATCTTTATCAAGGTGGTGGCATTTGAGCTGAAAACTTGAAAATGGATAGAATATGAATAGGGCAGTAAATATAGAGGAGACAGTGGGTGTAAAGATACAAATGTGGAAAAAGGCAGATTCATGCCAATTTGATTGGAATATAGAATTTACGAATGTAAGTTGTAGGAGGATGACATGAAAAGCATTTTGAGACCAGACAGCTTTATATTTTATACCAGTAACATAAGTTCAGTAACCTCTTTCTATGGAAACTTTAAAAATCAAGACATGATAATTCACCTAAACTAATACTTCTGTGGAAATGTAGATATGAATAAATAAATGATGACTTTACTACTTTTCTCCTTTCCTCGTGAAATATTTCAACACAGAGGAACTACCAAGAATAATAAAAACACCTATATACTCATCACCCAAATGTTATTAATGTTAAATCTTTTCCATATTTGCCTTCAGTCTTATTTTTAAGTAACTGTTTCCAGTACTTTACTGTAACAAGCAAGGCTACAACAAACATCCTAATGATAACAGACATTTATTGAGTTCTTACTCTGTGCCAGGCACTAGTGTAACTGCCATGTGTGAATTAATTTATATAATCTACACAGCAACTATATATAGAAGGAAGTATATTAATCACCATTTTATAAATGGGTAATAATATAGAGAAAAACTACATAACTTCCCGGAGATCAAAGGACCAAGAAATAAATGGTGGGGCTGGAATTTGAATATATGCATTCTGGCACTTTTTAGACCTTTTGGTTACACTTTATTTATTTATTTATTTTATTACAACTAAGATCTGAAAAATATTGTCTTCCCATTCATAAATATGGAATTATCTCTCTAGCTATTCAGATTTTCCTGGTCCTCCAAGATCTTTACGAAAATAACGATAAGTAAGTCATGCTGCTATAAGGACACATGCACACGTATGTTTATTGTGGCACTGTTCACAATAGCAAAGACTTGGAATCAACCCAAATGTCCATGACCGACTAGATTAAGAAAATGTGGCACATATACACCATGGAATACTATGCAGCCATAAAAAAGGATGAGTTCATGTCCTTTGTAGGGACATGGATGCAGCTGGAAACCATCATTCTCAGCAAACTATCACAAGAACAGAAAACCAAACACCCCATGTTCTCACTCATAGGTGGGAATTGAACAATGAGAACACTTGGACACAGGAAGGGGATCATCACACACCAGGTCCTATTGTGGGGAGGGTTGGGGAGGGATAGCATTAGGAGATATACCTAATGTAAATGACGAGTTAATGGGTGCAGCACACCAACATGGCACATGTATACATATGTAACAAACCTGCACGTTGTGCACATTGTACCCTAGAACTTAAATTAAAAAAAAAAAAAGTCTTAGAACACAGAGGTCAGTGAAAACCTTAACTGGTGGGAATAGAGAGAAAACAAACTGAGATAGTATTTTAGAAGACATAAGTTAAAAAAAGAAAAGTTTGACGAACTGTCTACTGAAACATGTAATTTTTCCCATAACAGACAGTAAATTATAACTGAAAATTGTAAAAAAAAAAAAAAAGAAAGAAAAAAATGATAAGATAATGTTGTATATCTTAGATCTATATTTAGGTACCTTTTAAATTTTGTTGTATTGTGAATGAGCTTTTTAAAAATACTTTTTTCTAATTAGTTAATTTTTATATATAAGAATTCTATTGATTATTTAATGTTGCTCTTGTATCCAGCAACCTTGCTGAATTTTTTTATTTGTGATAGTTTGGAATAGATACTCCAGTTTTATAGGTAAATCGTCATTTTTATCTCTTTCTTTCTCAATTCCTGTGTAGGAAATAAAGGCTTTTTCTCTTTTAAAATCTGTTACTTTGCTAAATGCCTAGAACAGTGCCTAGCCCATTGAAAGTTCAACACATAATTTTAAATTGCTGTGGTGGATCAATCTATTTTCTTCCTTGCCCTCCTGGGATAAACCATACTTATTTATAACATATTAATTTTTATATCTTGTATAAGATTTGCTATTTATTAATATTTTTGCACCTCTGTTCATAAATTCATCTACACTTTTACACCCTGTTACCATCCTTCCATGTTTTGGGTATTAAGGGGTATGTTAATCTCAACAATGCATTGGGTATTCTTCTCTGTTCTTCCATCCTTTGAAAGAGTTTGTATAAGATAAAGATTTTCGGTTCCTCCAATTTTTGGTAAAACTTCAAAAACTATCTAGGCCTGGTGTCTGAGGAAAGATAAAGTTTAAGTTGGATTTGTTATTGGCTAACTTGTGTGTGTGTGTGTGTAAATAAATATATATATATATTTACATATATATATATTTATTATTTTTCCAAGAAATTGTTCATTTTATCCACAATTTCTACTTTATTCTCACAAAATTTCATAGGTTTATCTTACTGTATTTGCAGTCATGACTCTTTTTTTAAATTCTTAGTGTTTGAAGAGAAGTTTCCTGTGCAAAGTAACAGTTTAAAAGTTTGAGCCAGGTGTGGTGGCTCATACCTATAATCCCACTACTTTGGGAGACTGAGGTGGGAGGATTGCTTGAGGCCAGGAGTTCAGGACCAGCCTGGGCAACATAGTGAGACCCTGTCTCTACAAAAAATTTAAAAGATTAGCCAGGCGTTGTGGCCCACCTACTGGGAGGCTAAGGCAGGGAGATCGCTTGAGCCCAGGAGTTGGAGGCTTTGATCCGCCACTGCGTTATAGGAAAGGGGTCCCCATCCAGACCTCAAGAGAGGGTTATTGGATTTCATGCAAGAAAGAATTTAGGGCAACTCTGCAGTGCAAAGTGAAAGCAAGTTTATTAAGAAAGCAAAGGAATAAAAGAATGGCTACTTCAAAGAGCAGCCCTGAGGGCGACTGGTTGCTCATTTGTATGGTTATTTCTTGATGATATGCTAAACAAGGAGTGGACTATTCATGCCCTCCCCCTCCCCCTCCTCCCCCTTTTTTTTGAGAGGGAGTCTTCTCTGTGGCCCAGGCTGGAGTGCAGTGCACACCTGGCTAATTTTTTTTGTATTTTTAGTAGAGATGGGGTTTGTGTTCGCCAGGATGGTCTCATCTCCTGACCTCGTGATCCGCCCGCCTCGGCCTCCCAAAGTGCTAGGATTACAGGCATGAGCCACCACCGTGCCCGGCCCATGTCTCCCCTTTTTAGACCATAGGGTAACCTCCTGACGTTGCCATGGCATTTGTAAACTGTCATGGCGCTGATGGGAGTGTAGTAGTGAGAGCGACCAGAAGTTACTCTTGGGGCCATTTTGGTTTTGGTAGGATTTAGCTGACTTCTTCACTGCAACCTGTTTTATTAGCAAGGTCTTTTATGACCTGTATTTTTTGCTGACCTATCTCATCCTGTGACTTAGATGGGGAAGGCAGCTTAGTAGGTTTCAGCCTCATTTTACCTAGCTCCTATTTTAAGATGGAGTTGCTCTGGTTCACTCGCCTCTGACAATTGCATTGCAGCCTGCGCGACAGAGACCTTGTCTCTGATAATAGATACATGTTTGGATAAAAATAATAATACATATTTATAAACTTACAAGTGTAAGTTGCTGAGAAACAAAACATTCAACTCATGGGTTAAAGAGGAAACCACAAAATCTTATTCTGGAAAATAGTGAAAGTACTATTTATTATAACGGGTGGGATACAGTTAAATTTAGCCCTAAATGCATTTATTTAAAACACATATACGGAAAAAACGTGTGTTCAACTAAAAACCCGGAAAAGGAAAATCAGAAGAAACAAAGCACGAGAAAAAAAAAAGAAAAGCACGACGTTATGGCGCTTCGCGGCTGTCGCGCTACTGGTATCTGTAGTCGTGGCTACTGCGGACCAGGAGAGACTGAAGTGGAAAACCGCGGGCGGTAGCGGAAGCCGAGACCAAGGAAGAGAGTGGGAAGTGCAGAGTGACAGCAACAAGAAACCGGTGGCGCGGGACGTCGTCTACCTGGGCGACGTTCAGCTGCCCTTGCGGCCTCTGCGCGTGCGCAACCTGGTTGGCGCCCCTGACCTGGTGAGCAGGTTTCTTTAAGGCCGTGGACGGTTCCTACCGGCGCGGGGAGAGGACCGGGCGTGAAGAAGCTGCCGAAGTATAACAAGTACTACGCGAAGGATAGGGTGGAGTCCCAGGCATTGCTTGACGGCCGGACGCGGAGACGCCCACGTCTCCCGCAAGCGCACGCCTGAACCCAGGGCAGCCGGCTGGGGCGCCCAGGACCAGGCCTGGCCTACCGCGGGCTGCCCTTCACAGAGCTGCAGGAGAAATCTAGTTGTATTGTGCACGCATTTCCTTAACCCTTACTAGTATTTTTTTTGATTGATCAGTTTTTGATGCGGGTATGTTAAACTGTTACTGGGATTGTGCCAGCTTTTTTTTTTTTTTTCTTCTTGTAATTCTGTCTACTTTTCTGATATAACACTTGGGGTTATGTTTTCAGACGCCTAAGTACCCTGCTGGTCCACAGCCAGGATTAGAATGAGGCAGGAGCCTCAGGTGCAGAATTTAAGGAACCGCCAAAAGAGCTCCGTAATGAAGATGAGCAATATTTGGATGCAACATTTTTCAAAATAAAAATTAATGCAAAAAAGTCTATGATTAGTAAAACGCTGCAATTTTAAATAAAAAAAAATCTGACTGCATTTTGACGACTCGATCACCTCTCTTGCCTCACAGGAGTCTGGGCCCTAGAGATAGCTTTTCGGTGAAGTGAACTTTTTTATCTTTCGGTAAGATTCCTCTGTTTCTACTGTAGCTTTTTGCTTAAATAGTATTTTTCTGTTATTGACATTGCTACACTGATCTTTTGGTTTGTATTCATTTATTCTATCTTTTTTACGATTTTAAATCCTTTTTCTTTGCTTTTTATTCTTTCTGTTGGAAAGGTGTTTTCTATATTTCCTTTATTAATATTTTTCCACTAAAAATTTAGCCTGAGTTGAGTCAAGAAAAATCTCCCTTGGGAAAATGTCTGCAGTATCTAGTACTGACATGTTTCTTTTTGAATCGTATAAGTGTGTTATTTTACTAATGAAAGTGATAGTCATGTCAGTAAAATTCTAGAAGCACTTATAGAGTGCTGCCTACATTGTATCAGTCTTTGTAACAGACACCGAGTATATAAGAATTAATAAGTCATAGACCTACTCTCAGGGCACCTACAATTAGCAGACTTTTTTTTTTTCTTTTTTTCCTTCAGATGGGATCTTGCTCTGTCACCCAAGCCAGAGTGCTGGAGTGCAGTGGTACAAACACAGCTGACTGCAGTCTTCACCTCCTGGGCTCAAGTGATCCTCTTGCCTCAGCCTCCCGTGTAGCTGGGACCACCGGTGCACACCACCATGCCCGGCTAACTTTCTTTATTTTTTTGGAGAGATGGGGTCTCACTTTGTGCCCAGGCTGAGCAGACATTTTTCTAACGTTATCTCATTGGACATCTCTGCTGCATTTAACACTCGCCCATTCCTTCCTTGAAAATTTCCATATTCTTAATTACCAGTCTCTTCTAATTTTCTGAATAATGAGAAACTATGGCCAGGCGCGGTGGCTCACGCCTGTAATCCCAGCACTTTGGGAGGCTGAGGCAGGTGGCTCACAAGATCAGAAGTTCAAGACCAGCCTGGCCAAGATGGTGAAACCCCATCTCTACTAAAAATACAAAAAATTAGCCGGGTGTGGTGGCAGACGCCTGTAATCCTAGCTACTCAGGAGGCTGAGGCAGCGAATTGCTTGAACCCGGGAGGTGGAGGTTGCAGTGAGTCGAGATTGCGCCACTGCACTTCAGCCTGGGTGACAGAGTGAGACTCCATCTCATTTAAAAAAAAAAAACAAAAACCAGAAATTACTTTCTCTGCTTCTTGAATGCGTCCTCCTTTGCCCTTTCCTCAATAGTTAGCATTCTCAAAGTTCCATCCCTAACCTACTGCTCTTTTCTTTCCACATCTCATGTTTACAATTTTTACTATGTTGGTAACTTCAAAATGGGTTTTTTACCTCTACCCAAATATTCTGATGTATATCCACCTGCTATTGAACATGCACTTGGATATCCCACAGGCACCCCAAACTCAACAGAGCCCCAACTGAAGACATCATCTCCTGCCACTTTAAATCTACTTCTGTTTTCCTTTTCTCATCTCATTTAATCACTTTGTACTGCTATCGAAGTGTAATTCCATCTTCCTTCTGCACTCCCATGGCCAGTCAAACTCCTGTAGATTGTATTTTCCTTAACGCTTTTCACATCTGTCTCCTCTTCATCCTTGTTACCACTCTTAGTTCAGGACCTCATTAATTGGCTTCTGGACTGCTGAACCTCTCAGTTGTCTACTTTTTTCCAATTTTATCATTTCCCCATTTGAATCTGAAGTCCCACAGTACCTTGTGCTTTCCTATATCTTTGTCTTTACCATGTATGAAATTAAGAGTCTATGACTGTCTTTTGACTGTAAGCTCCCACAGGGCATCTTTGTAACCCCCCACCACATAGCACATTGTCTGGTATTAGTGCTGAGTAAGTTTCTTAGACTGAACTAAGCTCTGATCTTATCAGTGTTTCATTTTTATCTTGTTTTAAGGCTTTTAATGTGTAAAATATTTTTGCTTTTTTTCTAGGAATAGTATTTTCAGTTTTTGGTCAAGGTCTTATGTCCCAAATTACCTACACTTACACAGTGCTTTTCATAGGTACCATCCCTGCACATTGAAGTAATTAGGGGTCAGTAAATATAATAAATCATTTGTTCACTATGTGTAATATTTTAAAGATGTTTTTAGTATCTGAATAAAAGCATTCCTATTTGTCTTATTATGGTGTTATTTCTTTTCTTTCCTTTTTTCTTTTCTTCTTCTTTTTTTTTTGGGAGATGGTCTTGCTCTGTTGCCCCGGCTGGAGCACAATGGTGCAATCATGGCTCACTGAGGCCTTGAATGCCCAGGCTCAAGTGATCCTCCTGCCTTAGCTGCCCAAGTAGCTGGGAATACAGGTGCACCCACTACGCCTGGCTAATTTTTAAAAATTTTTGCAGAAACAGGGTGTTGTGTGTTGCCCAGGCTGGTCTCAAACTCCTAGTCTCAAGCGATCCTCCCACCTCAGCCTCCCAAAGTGCAAGGATTATAGGCATGAGCCACTGCACCTGGCCTTATTCTGGTGTTATTTCTATTAGCTTTGGATTGTTGTCATTATTATTCGCAGTATTAAGTGTATGGATGATTTTCCAGGAATGTGAGTCCCTGTTTTGGTTTTGTCTATGATCCAGTTTTGGTCACTAGACGGCTGTAAAGATCTCTCAGTGCTCAAGAACTGTTGGCACTGCACATCAAATTTGTGATACAAAAATTAGATTCTGGGTTTTGTTGTTGTTGGAGAACGGTATCTCATTCTATTGCCCAGGCAGATCTCGAACTCCTAGACTCAAGCTATCCTCCCACCTTTGTCTCCCTAAGTGCTGGGATTACAGGTGTGAGCCACCGTGCCTGGCAGATTTTGGGTTTTAAGGAAAGGATCCTGCTATTATAGAGAGGTGAACCGCTTCCTCGCTTTAGTTGTATAGGATCTCACTACTCAAAGTGTGGTGCCCAGAGCCACAACAATGGCATCACCTGGGAGCTGATTAGAAATGCAGTTTGAAAAGCACTGGTACTGTATACAGAACACAGCAAAATAGAAACAGTAAAGAAAGGCACATGCAATTATTGCAGAAAGGATTTGCAAACTAAAGATAAAAATGACAGATTCACTTAGCTACTAGCAGTGTCTCAAGACTGACTGCAATTTAAGAAGGGCAGTCTGAGTGCAGTGGCTCACACCTGTAATCCCAGCATTTTGGGAGGCCGAGGTGGGTGGATCATGAGGTCAGGAGTTCGAGACCAGCCTGGCCAACATGGTGAAACCCCGTCTCTACTAAAAATACAAAAAATTAGCTGGACGTGGTGGCAGGCGCCTGTAATGCCAGCTACTCAGGAGGCTGAGACAGGAGAATTGCTTGAACCTGGCAGGCAAAGGTTGCGGTAAGCAGAGACCACACCACTGCACTCCAGCCTGGGCAACAGAGCAAGACTCCATCGAAAAAAAGAAAAAAAAGGCAACACATAATGTTCAGAATGTGATTAGAACACATCCCTCCGTTCTCGTGGACCTCACGCCTTAATGTAGCCAGATCGTGCGGTGGATGCTGACAGATGGCCCCTGCTGTCACTAAGTGGGCAGGAAAGACTCAATAATCCATGATATGTGGAACTGCTATTCCCAAGTAAAGTCCTCCAAGATACTTTTTGGAACCCTGGGATAATGTTTGGGGGCATGGAGAGTGGATGGGGATTTTTCTTTGCTTTAACACGATACAGACACTAGAGTAGTCAGGCGATAGTCTTGAAGGGGTTTGGATAATTTTGTGCCATAAAAACATCCTGAGAGGCTTTGTAGCATGGTACTTAAACATGTGGAGACTACCAGGTTTAAATTCTGTTTCTGCTACCTACTAGCTGACCTTGGGTGAGTTAATTCTCTGTGTCTCAATCCTGTTATCTGTAATATTGGGGTGGTCCTAGCATCTACCTCAGGGTTATTGTGAAGATTGCATGAGTTTGTATATTTAAGTGCTTAGAACAGGAGTGACAACAGATAGCACTCAATAAACGGAAACAAAAAGGACATATGTGGGCCAATATGCAGTACAGTCCCTGGCTCAGTAAGTATACAGGTGCCCATTAAGTGTTTGTGGAATGTGCCACTTGTTTATTTATTTTCCCTCAGTTTCAAACTCACTCTGTTCTATGAAATTGAGATGGGCCCTTAAATATTTTTCCTTGGCTAGCTGGCACGTTGTTAAACTTTATCTGTAGAAGATATTGAAGGGACATTACAGGAAGAGGGGGTTTTCCTTCCTGGCTCCAGGGTTCTCTCATCAGATTCCTGTAGACCCAGCTCCTGCAGTGCTTTAGCTTCTTCAGTGCATGGCAATTAGTAGCACCCCTACAGGCAGGTTTGTAGCCCAGTGCCTCCAGTGAGATGCTTTCCTGTGACAGACTTTCCCCTACAAACTAGAAGGTGGATATCCAGCATATTCTGCCAGTACAGATCAGGTGACTTTTCTGCCATTTGGTGAGCCATGGCTGGATCTCAGCTGGAGAGGGTAAGGGTGCAGGAACTCTTCCTTGAGTGATCTGTTTTTGCCCTTGGAATATCTGCTTTTCCTACATTCCTTAAAATTATCTTTCTTTCTAGCCTATTTCTTGTTATAGTTAATAATTTGTTCATATTAAACTTTCAAATTATCTGGTTTCTGTCTCCTGATAGGACCCTGATTGATATTAATAATAAATGAAACATTAACATTCCCAGTTGTTCTGAGAAGTTTAAATGTTTTATATAAGATGAAGCTGCAGATTTTCAGAATTTTTGTGTTGAATAGATTTACTGTTATCTATGATTAAAATACATGTTAAGACAATATGTAGATTGTGATCCTGTTTCTGTTTTTTTTTTTTTTAATTTTATTTTGTATTTTTATTTTTCTTCTGAGATGGAGTTTTGCTCTGTCACCCAGGCTGGAGTGCAGTGGCGTGATCTTGGCTCACTGCAAACTCCACTCCCAGGTTCACGCCATTCTCCTGCCTCAGCTTCCCAAGTGGCCGGACTACAGGCACCCGCCACCACGCCTGGCTAATTTTTTGTATTTTTAGTAGAGACGGGTTTCACCATGTTAGCCAGGATGGTCTCGATCTCATGACCCGTGATCCACCCACCTCAGTCTCCTAAAGTGTGAGATTACAGGTGTGAGCCACCACACCGGCCATCCTGTTTTGTCTTAAAAAATTGGTGTGTGCTGGTTCCAAGATGGCCGAATAGGAACAGCTCCAGTCTACAGCTCTCAGTGTGAGCGATGCAGAAGATGGGTGATTTCTGCATTTCCAACTGAGGTACTGGGTTCATCTCACTGGGGCTTGTTGGACAGTGGGTGCAGTCCATGGAGTGAGAGCCGAAGCAGGTTGGGGTGTTGTCTCACTAGGAAAGTGCAGGGGTCAGGGAATTCCCTTTCCTAGCCAAAGGCACGCGTGACAGATGGTACCTGGAAAATCAGGACACTCCCACCCTAATACTGCACTTTTCCAATGGTCTTAGCAAACGGCACACCAGTAGATCCTCTCCGCTGGCTGGCTCAGAGGGTCCCATGCCCACGGAGCCTTGCTCACTGCTGGCACAGCAGTCCTGAGATCAAACTGCAAGGCGC